GCTAATACTCTTACGAAAACCAGTTATGGGTTAAGAAAGCAGCGTGTGTTCTCTAGCCTTGGATAGAAACTAGTTTCGGAGAGAAACAACTCTAAATTAAAAAAAAAAAAAATAACTGAAGAGGGACAGGTCCCGTCAGATTATTTTACTTTAAACACACACCTGCTGCTGCATTTTATTCATTAACAATGCTGCTCTGATGTGCCTTATAGACGGGCGTAGACGTTTATTTGAAAGGAAAGTTATCATACTCCTACCCAGTTTAATAATTTCTCACTTTTTAACACCTTTAAATGATTTTCCGAGCCAACTTTTTCTTAAGATCTCTTGTCGGTTGCATATTTAAAATAAAATCCAACCATCCCGATTATTAAGACCCGCAGGCATTTACATGGAGGGTTACGTTTATTTTTACGAGAAATTTACCGACGCCCCACGAAGCTTATCTAGTCTCCCATGTTTATTAACTTCGCACTTTTTGAAACTTCAAAGTTTAAATGATTTTCCAACTCCCTTTTTAAAACTTCCCCCCCTCGTCTATTGAAAAAAACAAATCAGACTTCCCCGATTATTAGGACCACCCGGCATTTCAACTTGGTGCAATGATAAGCAAACTTGTCTCGCTAGATCAGTCTCTCAGCTGAATAGGAAGTTCGATACTCACTAGGTGCTCCATAATTTCGGCCTTGTGCCACGTTTAATAAATCGGTGGTAAGGTCTTTTATTGTTTTAGGCATGGTGTAAAATGGATGACAGAACTGATGTTTTGTTAGCGTTTTTTTTTTTCTTTAATCAATCTTACATTTGATTTTTTTTTATTTAAATAGATATAAAAAGAAAAAAAAGTTATAACTTAATTTCTCTCTTTTTTTTTTTCTTTTTTAACCATCCAGCCTACCGTAGGTATGTTTTCTTTCAAATCGAAAGGAAAAGGTTACGAACAAAAAGGCACGAATGGGTTTCTGCTTTTTATTGCCGTAAAGGCAAAGTCGTAGACAAAACGTGTACAAACTGTTTTACTTTTAAAGTAACTAAATAAGAAAGACAGAAGAAAAAAAACAATCAGATGGAGTTGTACAATACGCAGAACAACCAAAAATATTTTTACATATTATTGCTTAACTACAGGTCACGAATAATAATAATAATAATAATAATAATAATTTAAGTTATAGGGGGTCCAGTTTGCTACGTAAATTTATTGCATATTAATCTCCATAGGAAAATCAAAATAAATGTGCTCACACGTGTTTTCTTTAAGAAAAATAATAAAAAAAGAACAATTTGTTTTTAGAAATTACTAATTCAGAGTCCTTTTTTTCATATATCGAAGTACTCCAGATTATATTTTTTAAATTCTTAAATTTTATGAAAGTTCGTTTTTTTGCTAGTAAATCTATTGTAAATTGATCTCTGCTGCGAAAAACTAAACAATGTTTTTTATTCCATGTGTTTTCATTTAAAAGAAAAAAAAAAAAGAAAATAGTTACTCTGTAGTTCTTTTTTCATATAGTTAGAGTACTATCGATTAAGCAATCTAGATTAGGAATTTTTAAAAATTACCTTTTCTTCTTTAAAGAAAATACGCCGTATGAGTACATTTGTTTTGGCTTCCGTAGGAGGCTCAATTTACAATGAATCTGCATAGCAAATTGGACCCCACTATTAACTTTTATAAAATCAGTTTTTTTTTCTTTTCATTTATCCGTGATCTGCAGTGCTTAATTAATAATACAAAAAAGAAAAAGAAAGAAAAAAAAATGATTATTCCTGGTCGAATTGTACAACTCCATCGGGAAAAAAAATCTAATTTCGCAAATTGAGCGAGAATATGGCAACATTAGAATTTGTTTAATTTTTCGTATCCAACAAGTTGCCGTTGTTTCTGGCATCGCTTTTCTGTCATCAGCGTGTCTCGCTAAACGCCATGGCAATAAAGAACGTGGAACACATGCATTCATTCAGTTCTCAGAAGCACAGCCGTTTAAGGGTTTGCTTATCTATCTATACACGTCAATCTGTTCTTCTTACTTATCTGATTATCGACTTACCCACCTGTGAATTCCGCGAAGCGCGCGCGCACACACGCACGCACTTTCCTACAGGTGAATAGATTCGGATAGATTTTTTTTACTGTAAATTTTCCTTTGTTTTGGGGAATTTTTTTTAAGCTTTTCGACGTGCTCTAAGTATACCAAGATATTTTTCTCCAGAAAATATGATCAAATTTTGATTCTTAAAAAAAATTTATGCAATTTTAAATTCGATTTATTTTTTAATTTTTTTTTTTTTTTTGGATGTTGTTTTGGTGGGAAAGAAATTTGCATAATGCGACAATAAACACGAAGAATAAACAAAATACAGCTAATAAATTGAATGTTTTGTTTTCGTATTTCTGGAGGTATTTTAAAAAGTTCTTCGTATATCAGTTGTCTTTATAACATTAACAATGACATCTACTGTCTTATTTGTTTTTATTTTTACTTCAATCGATATAGGTAATTTTCAAAACATGTTCAGAGTAAAAAAAAATTAAAAACAAAAAAAAACTTGCACAGACCTGAAATGAATTAACTTATAAGTAAACTTTGTGCGACATGGGCAATTTAAAAAATAAAAATAAAAAAGAGTTTTTGACTGGTTTAACAAACTTATAGCGTCGAATAAGTCGTTTAATACCAGGTAGAAACTTGTAAAAAAGGATTTTTAACTCAATAAAATCTTAATAGTACACATTCCCCCGCCCTTTCTTTTGAAAAGAAAATGTTCAAAAAGAAGAGGGGGTCTATATAGGCTTATGGTTACAATAGAGGGTACTGGAAAGTTTACGAACCGACAAAGAAACGCTTTCAAAAGATATTTTAATCATTATTGGTCAGATTATGGTAAGTGGGTCGAGCCGAGAAGTTTTCAGCATGTTTTCATAGGGTTGCTTGGTGGGAAAGATAATTATTTAAAAAAAAAAAAAAAAAAATTCAAGTCGAACGTTTTTAATTTTGAGAAACATGAATCATTAATATAATAAATCAATAAAGAAAAATTAAAGGGTAAAAAAAAAAAAAAATCATATTGAAATTGCTACTTTTTGCCGTAAAGGTAACTTTTTTATCGCTTAGTTGTTTATTATTATTATTATTATTATTATCAATTAATCATATATAAATTCTACCTTGTCGAGGTCAGCCTTTCAAAAATGATAAATCGGTAATAACTCATAATCAGACTTACATGTGTTATTACAACACAAACGCAGACATAACTATAAGCGAGTTTCTAAAACAGTTTTTGGTACACAAAGACGACGTCTCTTTATGAGGGATTATTTTGCTTCCTGACCATATTTCGATTTCCCAAGAGAGCTTACTGCTGCATTTCTACCTTGTGTTTTCTTCTTCCGATATTAGATTATAACTACAGGAGAAATCTACCATTATTTGAAAAAACAATTCTTGATTTCCGATATATGATCTTATTAGTTAAGCCTAGAACTTAGAGATGAAATTTACGAAGGTAAAAAAAAAAAAAAAATCCAATACGTTGATTTTTCGACCAAGTTTGCGGTAATGTCAACAAGTAAAGAGAGGATTACTTTATTTTTTTCTTTTCTTTCTCAAACTCTTTTGTTTGTATTTCATTTTGCAAAATGGGGTGGGAAGATACCATTTTTGCAAATAGGACAACGATTTCTCAAGTTCGTGAACGTGTGTATAAGAGGCTATAGTGGTTCCAATGACAGAAAAGTATGTATATTAAAAAGAAGAGAAGAGAGGTGCCGCAAACGTTTTTGGTTGTAATGTGGATTTTTTTTTTTTTTAAATATTATGCTTTATATTCCATAATTTTACTACACGTGTTTCTGGTCTCGCGACCGTCTTCAGGTAAAGGCGGAGATTTCCACATATTATTAAAAATAATTAATTTTTTCCTTATGTTTTTCAATGTTAAATATTCTCGATATGAGACATTGTCTGTTTTTGTGTTAGTAATCCGAATGTCTTTCTTGAATTGACAGTGAATTGGTATATATATATATATATATATATATATACACGATAGCTACTTTGTTTATCTTACAAATATTCAGCCCTTCGTTTTTATTGTGTTTGTCTGTGTGTGTGTGTGAGAGAGAGAGAGAGAGAGAGAGAGAAAGAGATGTCTGTGTTTTTATAGATAAAGACAAAGTTTACGGGTTTAAAAAGAAAAAGATAGGAATCGGTAAGTATTAACTTAAAATAATTTAGGCTTAATTATGCAGTAACCAGGACTCTAAATTAAATATCTATTTTTACATTAGCGCTCCAAACTCTGTCTTCACGCATATATACATACATATACGTTTATTTTGAACATTTCGCTTTGAAAGTTTAAAACTAAAAAAAGTATAATTTTCTGGCCAGTTTCCTTGAAAACGACTGGGTTGTTTAAAAAAAAAATAAAACACAGCCACACACAAAAATATATAAATAAACTCCTGTATTTTTATTTACTGAATTAAAATTAAATAAACAGACCTTTTGCGTCAGGTGTATTTATTTACTGGATTAAATAAATAAACCTTTTTCATGAGGTGTAAAGAGTGGTTCTAGCTGATAATAAACAATTTTTTTTTAATTTCAGAGAGGTTATATTTGTTGCGTGAGAAATAGTTTTTACCCGTAAAAATCACGATTCCTTAAAAAAACATAATAAAAACAAAAAACATCAGCAAATGTCAAGGCAAACTAACTTACCTTTCACGTAAATACATCCCAGCGAAGTATTTAATGTTTTTCTTCGTGTATATACACGCACAACACAGACAGAAAAAAAAAGATGTTGCTGGAGTTGATGTATAAATAATAATAATAAAAAAAAAAAAAATACAAGAGAAAAAAAAAAACGAAAACAGTCAAGGTATATCCATATATAACTGTTGCGACAACACTCGTAGGATGTGTAGACAAAGGTTTTGTGAACACATAACTGTGTCGAGTGTTGTGAGAACGAAGATTTTTACTGACATTAGGGAGAACACGTGCGTATACGGCGACGGAGGCCGACGGAATGGAAACCCCGGTAGAAGCAACACTGGCGCAGCAGCAGCAGCGAAGAGATTGTAGTTGTCGTAGTAGTGAACGGTTAGTAGCCGTGATTGTTACAGGGTGGGGGAGCGACGGGGGAGAATGGGCTCTCTGTACGACTAGGCAAGCTCAGAATATTGGAAAGAAGACAGAGAGAGAATCAAGCGAACACACGCACACTACTCTCATTAACTGTTGGTTGTCGGAGACTCAGATAGAAAGGTGCGCGCGCGTGAGAGAGAGAGAGAGAGAGATCTCGCTTTTTCGTCTCCTCCTATAATTGCGTGCCGGGTTGCCTACCGATGAGAAGGCTCGTCTCGCAAACCTGTTTATCGGCAGGTGAGGTGAGTTCGATCCTCACTAGGTGCCCCACTATTTTGAATTGGTGATAAGTAAGCTTAGTTGGTAAATAGTTTACGGAGCACCGTAATGAAATGATTCTATTTATTCAGTGACTTGGATTTTTGTCAGGTGCCTCCAAATACATAGGTTTGTGGCGTTGCGCTGAAAGCTCCGATTCCTGTTCGTTTGCTGAAGTTAAGTAGCGATGAGCCTGTTCATTACTTGCATAGGTCACCGCTTGGGAACTTACTAGAAAGCTGAGACTTGCGCAAGAATTTCTATTAAAAAAAAAAAAAAAAAAAAAAAAAAAAAAAGCAGTTTTACACTTAGTAGGTATGCCTTTCACTTTTTTAATTTTATTTAAAAAAAAGAAAAAAACATCTTATTACATTTATCATTATTTTTTACAATCCGATTTGTTCAAAACTCTTAACGCTTTACTTACATTTTGGTGACACAGTTTAGAAGTGCTCAAAAATGCCCCCCTTCGACATTAAAACATTCCTTGAACCTCGCCAGAACACAATGGCACACAGCCCGACAAAAATCCCGATCTACATTAATTAATTTCAATAAAAACCTCTGAGATGCACTCTTTTAATTCGTCCACAGGGTGGGGATTTCTCTCATAAACCTTTTTAGTTTACTACACCCCCCCACCCACAAAAAATTAATCCGTTGAAGTTAAATCTGTTGAATGCAGTGTCTATTCGGTGCTGACACTTCTTCCGAGCCAACGCTGCGGAAAGGTTTGGTTAAGGTAGTCCCTTACTGCCAAAATATAATGGGGAGGTGCTGAAGAAACTTTTCGGCCAAGTTATCTCCGGTTCTGACCTGTGAAACAACTGTAACCCTACTTTTGGCCCATTCCCTATCGTCCGGTTCTTACTCCTCCCCGGTCTTGTGAACATGTGTAAAGGTTTATCCCTTGTTTACTGCTTAGGATTCGGTTTCAGGTTCCTTCTAAAGTTTACTTCAACTAGATATCTCCAGTGAAATTGCACTGATATTTTTTTTATTTTTATTTTTTCCTCAATCGGAGTAGACAGGTTCACCTATCGTCCGGTTCATACTCCTCCCCAGTCTTTCGAACAGGAACAGAGGTTTATCTCTTGCTACCTGTTCAGGATTATGTTTCCAGTTTAATTCTAAAGACTTTTCCTTCTCTTTCACTACTATTAGCCCCTTTGCGGCTTCGTGAGGGTACCGCCTTGCTTGAAGAGAATTAATTTAAAACAAATCTAAAAACAGTTTTATGAGCACTCTGAACTGGAAATAGCACTCGGACCGCCAGAATGATAGGAGGGATGTATTTGTTTACGACGGACGAAGGCACGGCAAATAAGTTCAATTTTGAAACCTCTTCTTTTCAATACGGGAGTCAGTTTTTATTTACTAACTTCAGATGAGTAGCTCACAGAAAAGAAACGGCCATCAAAGATCGAACACACGGATATGATCGGCCCCCTGTACCGTTCCAAAGGGTGACGCAGGTGTGAATCCTGCCGGAAGGCGCATTTTATTCAATAAGATTTCTCGAATGTTCAGATCAGTAGACGAAATAAATGTACCGTTTAAGAAATAAACGGAGCATCTACTCAAATGAATATCCCCTAAAAATAACGTTTAAAGTAATAAAACGTATGTCGGGTTAATAAATGAAATCCATTATATATATATATATATATATATATATATATATATGGCGCTGACTATCATCCTCATCTTTGTTGCCATATTTATCACAACGTTTCGGCCGTTGTACGCTCCAGCCTTCTTCAGTTGATTGGAATGTCGAACTGGACCCTTTATTTCTTTCACTGGGGTAGAACTGTTCTAGTTCCACGTGCCATGTCCAATGTATGTCAGTTATCAGTTATCTCCTGTTAATTCACCTCTCAAAGTTCTTCACCGCCCTAACCGGGTATTGAGCTCACACTCTTTGAGTCCTCGACACATGGCACAGTGAATAAAGGCGTTAGTTAGTTCCAGTGACAGGACCCAAAGAGTTCAGTTCGATATTCCAGTCACCTGAAGAAGGCCGGAACGTACAACAGCCGAAACTTTGTGATAAATATTTATAACATTTACCGGCCTGAATATTTTCGGTGAAAATTTCTCGGACATTTAGTCCGGGAAATGTTGCTAATACTGTTTATTATAAACAGAGCATTTACTTAAATATTTGTATCTATAAAAAGAATGTATAAATATAAAAATGTCTTAAAATGATTGACGGATTTTGTCCATTTCATAATGTGTGACGTCATTTTTTTACATTTGGATACGCCATGAGCAGATATGAATGTACGTGAGAGATTGATGGAAGATTGTAGTTTAAAGACAGTAAAATCGACCTTGCTAACCGAACGACCCTCTTATTTCGATTGGTTAAGAGCACGTCAAGCTAAATGACGGTTTTGTATAGGATACAGGTTCGAATCCTGTCGGAGGACGGATATTTTCTCTGAAAATTTCTCGGACATTCAGGCCGGTAAATGCTATAAATACTGTTTATTATAAAACAGAGCACTTACTTAAATATTTGTATCTCTAAAAAGAATGTATAAACATAAAAATGTCTTAATCTCTCTCTCTCTCTCTCTCTCTCTCTCTATATATATATATATATATATATATATATATATATATATATATATCAAGAACAGTATTGAAGAAATTGTATGACAAAGTGTAGAAGTTTACTTGCGACGCGTTTCGTTCTTCAGGAATTCATCGGACTATATTGTTTACGTTAGGGCGATTACACATGCGCCCTAACGAGCGATGCTGGGCATTATATATATATATATATATATATATATATATATATATATATATATCATGAAGAAACAATTTATATAAAGAATTACATACAAAAAACATATTTCGTCTTAGTGTTTGCCTATGTATGGGAAAATTGCGCACTGAAGATAACAATTTGATATTGTCGAAAGTACTTGACATGTGTCTTCCATCTGGCAACAACTCGAATATAAGAATTTTATTATGTCTCATTAAGTCCTGTTAGCGAAGTGATTTCACCATTAATCACATTAATATTGCTAATTTATTTAATTATTTGCATAAATTGTTTCTTCATGATATATAGACTGTTCCACGTTTTTTTTTGTTTTGAGGGATGTCAGTTATCAGTGAGAGTTCTCCACTCCACTTAACCGGGTATTGAACTCACACTCTTTGGGTCATGTCACTGGATCTAAATAACGCCTTTATCCACTGTGCCATGTGTCCTTGGTATGAATTTCTGGGTATTATAAACCTAACGTCTTCAGCAAACATTTTTACGAGTGCTCATATTGCAATTTTTGCTGTTATCATTACATGTTTTTACCAGAGCTCATATTGCAACTTTTTGTTGATATCATTGCTTTTCTCCTTATTACTGGTTCCCATATTGTATTTATTTCTATACTTGGTCGTCTCAGGAGATTTTTGTGGCCTAGCATATGCATAGGCAGTGGAGAACTTTCAGAGGGAAAATTAACAGGAGATAACTGATAACTGACATCCATCAAAATATGGCACGTGGAACTAGAGCAGTATACCCCAGTGAGCGAAATAAAGGGTTCAGTTCGACATTCTAACCACCTGAAGAAGGCCGGAGCGTACAACAGCCGAAACGTTGTGATAAATATGGCGTCAAAGATGAGGACAATAGTCCGAATAATGTAAATAATGTACATAATACCTCATCTCAGAAATATAGACAGACTCTGTTTTCAATGTATTTCTCTTCTTCATGTAAATAATGTGGGCTGCATATTCTTAGGACTCTTAGGTAGAATCCGAATTTATTAGTTCGTTTTAGTTGGTTGATTTCCTATGGACATTGATTTTTAAACTGTTGTTAACGCAGTGTAGCTTGATATCTAGGAAAGTTAAGGAATTGTGTTCTTCCATTTTGTATTTCTTTCGCATGTTCAATATAATTTGCATACGAAAAGAAATTCCCGCGAAGAGATTGTCCGGCATTCACAGAGATTCTATATTGTATTGCAGTTCAGCATTTTTTCCTTTGTTTCGAAGGCATTTTCATGTCTCTTGATACTTTGTTTAGTTTCTGATCTGAGTAACACTTTCGCTCTTCTTGGACCCCTTCGGGTTTCTGAGTCACATTTCCATTCATCTACAGGGTGTAACAAAATGATCTGACACATTTTGGGGTTTAATAAAAGCGGATTAGAATAAAGAACGAAAAACGTGTTTTTATTTTCGAAATCGACGTACAATGCTATTTTGTTTCATTTCGTTTTAAAAATAAAATCTGGCAAGTGGGTGCTGTTAAATTCCACACACTTTTTAAGACGTTCAAGAAAGTTGTCCATAACTTGATGGGCCATTTCATGTCCAACCCCGCGTCCCAAGCATATGTTTATGAGAAAATCATGGAAAATTGTAGTTTAAAAACAGTAAAATCGACCTTGCTAACCGAAATACTCCTCTGTGACGAAATCAATAAAAGCACGGTTCCGTATAGGATACAGGTTCGATTCTTGTCGGAGGATGAATATTTTCTATGACAATTTCTCGGACATTCAGGCCGGTAAATGTTGTTAATACTGTTTATTATAAACAGAGCATTTACTTAAATATTTGTATGTATAAAAAAAGAACGTATAAACATAAAAATTTTATTATATATATATATATATATATATATATATATATATATATATATATATATACTAGCAGCATGGCCCGGCGTTGCCCGTACTTGATTCAAAAATCGTTCAACTCATACAGCAATCGCTATCATTTGACTTAAAATATGTTTGCCCTTCCTTGCCTTTAAAGGAGTGCCCTTTGCCGTGCTGATGTTGCTACATGCCTTACTTCTTGCCTATCTCACACTGCGAATTTTTTCTAAGCTCTATACTAAACATTAAATCTGTTACGAAAAAAGAACTAAACAAAATGAACACAAAACGATCAGCTTTAAAAAGGACTTGTAACTGGAAAAACCGAATGAAAAAAGAATGTTAACAACAAATACTTTTTCACACCCAACCCAGTTCTGCGGAATCAGAATCAACGTTGAGTTTAAGCAAGCGAATGAGCCAATTGGAGTAAAGTGCCATGCAGATTAAAATTTTTCCCATTTGTGACGAATGCAGCTATCAATTTTTTTTGCATGCTAGCATGCTAGTTAACATTCGTGTCAGTCATCTGTTGGCTCTCACGCTGGCCAATAGAATCTTCCTGCGTATTTGTGGCAGCCAGCTATAGGCTGTCACTCTGGCCAGTAGAAAATGTCCGCAAACTACATGAAAACTGCCGTAGAAGCATGAAAAAATCGATTATTTCCGCTATCAATGGGAGATGGGAAATGCAAATTCGGTCTTGGCCTTCTTGCTAACATGGAGCATGTGCATGTAAATTTTGGTGCAAATCCGTCGAAAATTGCGGCCGTGCATTCGTTACACACACACACACACACACATATCCTGTTTTTAATAGATAGAGATTATTTTTTACGTACACTCGGGCGGTGTGAAAAAACAATAATAAGAATAGATAATATAACAATAGATAAATACAATTTGTAAATAAAAAAAATATTAGACAAACTGGTATTTGGGAAAAATCAATAAAAAAACTAAAAATATTCAAACGTTCATAATATTAATTTAAAAGAGAGCTCAGTACAAAAGTAGAGCAATAATTATTTATTATAAGTCAGGGTTTTTTTAAACTGTGGTCCGCGGACCACAGTTGGTCTGCAAGGACAAGATAGGGGGTCCGTAGACAGCAAAGACTTTTTTTATGGGTGACATGCAACTTATAAGCGCTTATAAGTAACTTATAGGCCGATCATGAAATAAATTGATTCAATAAACTATTTCATAGATTTGATATACTAATATAATTTGTATCTTAAATTGATAAAGATAATGGATTCTATTCATGCAGAGAAGGAACCAAAGGATTTGAATTTTGGATCTATTTTGTGATTCCTGTGTGTGTAATTGACAATAAAACTATCTGTTAAATACTATTACTGTTTTCATTTTCATGTAAAATTAATATTTTAATATAACAAAATTTAATTTTGTTACATTTTGCAGCAACATGCAGCATTAATTTATTTGAACACTTATGTCTAACGTAAGCTTTAAACCTGCTTTTGTTGCATTAATGCAAAATTATATGTTATATTCAGCAAATATTTATGTATAAATTTCATAAGCGTTTATAAGGGGGTCCCTAAGGTAAAGCCTGAAATATAAAGGGGTCCGCAAGTCAAAAAGTTTGAAAACCCCTGTTATAAGTTATTACATTCGAGCATTTAATTTGCCACTAAAAATGCATATTTGTTTCTATGTCAAATTCAGACTGTTTATCCATAGCTAAGGAAGAAGAAGAGAATTTACACCTTTCTCAATGGTATTAGCAATATATAATATGCATAAGCGGGTGTAACGGCAAAATTGTCCATCCCATAAAATGTTTAATATCTAAAAAAAAAAAAACTACTAAAATAATTGATTTTTTTTTTCCAGGTTATCAGATAAGAGGTTTAGCCATTTTTATTTTTGTAAGAATCCCTGAAAAATCTTTTGAGTTATTCAGTTAGAAAGAGAACCAAATAAAGTCGTTTTGTGTAAATCCCATTATATCTTTCCAGCTGAGCAATGGTGAGCAATGTATTTTTCCAATTTTCGGATAAGGTGCTGAGCTCGAAGTTGTTAAAGCTTATCATGTACCGTATTTTCGGGCTTACAAGATGATGCGTCTTAGAAGACGCACCCTAATACTGGAAAGAAATTTCTAAGAAAAAAATGTCATTCTTATACAACAACACATTCACCATGCGTCCCTCACATACTGCCAACACGTATTGTTTACATTAATCACTTGTTTGATTTTGTTTGTGTCCTACCGCTGTTAGTAAACAAAGCATGTTTAAGATTGTGGCTCGGCTCCAGGAAGGTTTATAGTTTTATCAGGTAACATCATACCTGTGTTAGATAGCTAACATTATAGTGTAATGACTCAACATACAAATCCACGTCCCTATCAGTCAAGTAACTTGAGCCTGGGCGTTGCTTTACATTCATTTTTGGAAGATGCACACATATTTTTCAGGGTAATTTTTTAGGAAAAAAGTGCGTCTTGTAAGCCGGAAAATATGGTATGTTAATTTATTAGCGTATCTTTGGGTCTACCTAAATATAGATTGCCAGAAAGAATATCTTAGAAGCCTCAAGAAGTTTAAATAAAATATATGAACAGAAAAGGGATATTAAAAAAAACAACACATTAAACGCATTAGTTGCCCACCGTAACAAGGCAGACGACACTTTTGATTTTAAAAAAATTAGCTCTAATTAAAAGAGTAAACATTTCATTAAGACAGTAATGTTTAGAAAGTGTTTTAATCGCTACTCCATACACAATCAATTTGCGTCCTTGTTCTCAAAAGGTATCACCATCCTTGGCAGATCATCTGTCATCACATAGTGGGATAACAAACATGATGGAAACAAGAAGAAAAAGAAAAAGAATCTTAATGAAATTGGCTAGAATATATAGCTAAACTATAATTTTTTTTCTACATTTTAAATAGTAGCGTCTCTGCATCGGGCGCATGTGTAGTCGTACCAACGTAAACAAACCTAGTCACACGAAGTCCTCCATCTTTACGCCAAAATTTTTGTTAATATATAAAAATTTATATATCATTATCATTCCCCATATATATATATATATATATATATATATAGAGAGAGAGAGAGAGAGAGAGATAGATAGATATGAAGTGACTGGGATAGTTAGATTATGAACAGAATGAGATGGAAATATATATATATATATATATATATATATATATATATATATATATATATATATATATATATATATATATATATATATATATATATATATATATATATATATATATATATATATATATATATATATATATATATATATATATATATATATATATATATATATATATATATATATATAATCTAACTATCCAAATCAGTTTCCCAGTGGAAATATATATGGAAATATATATATATATATATATATATATATATATATATATATATATATATATATATATATATATATATATATCATTCTGTTCATAATTTAACTATCCCAGTCAGTTCATATCTATCTATCTATCTATCTATCTATCTATCTATCTATCTATATATATATATATATATATATATATATATACTGGGTGTAACAGCAAGATTGTGCAAATTGTGTAACAGCATGGGATAATTGTCCGTCCTACAAAATGTTTAATATCTAAACAAATACTGATAAACGAATTGAATTTTTTCCAAGTTTTCAAGTAAGACGTTTAGCCATCTTCACGCCATTTGCGTAAGAATCGTTTCAGTTATTCAACTAGAAAGAGAGCAGGTTAAAATTGTTTTGTGTCAGGCACACTGTCTCCCAAATGAGCGATGGTGAGAGGAAAAAGATCATTCAAACCTTCAATAATGATACTGACATTTATATTCTTCCATCTTCAGAATCCATGAAAGAACCATCAAAGAACGGTAAATACGTTTTAAAAGGAGGGAACAATAATGAGGAAAACTGAATCAGGAGGTTACAACAGGATGAGAGATCAACATTTCAACTTAGAGCTAAAGAGATCAAGTAGAAAAGATCCAACTCAATTGTTGCTCTAGGAGATAAATTTAAAAGGTTAGAGAGGTAAAGATCATCATGGATCAGTTAGAAAATGATCCGGGAATATATATATATATATATATATATATATATATATATATATATATGAACTTTCAATCCTTCATGAGCTTCCGATCCTTAGCTATGATTAATTAATGATGAACATGTCATTTTTGTTTATGATCACAATTCTTTTGTTAAGCTTGTAGAGTAATTATACATTCTTATTGCTCAAAGTAGAGTACAATAGTATTATAAAAACCACGTAGAATTCCAGTAATATATCTTTAATCATTTCTAAGATACAACAGTTTAAATTTTAATCTAACAATTGGACAATTTTGTTCTGACACGATTTAGACAATTTTGGTGTTACACTCTTCACACACACACACACACACACACACACACACTCACACATATATATATATACATATTGTTGAAACTTGACTAATAATGCATGGAATAATAATGCAACACAAAATGTACTTCGAACAAAATGTATTGAAACAAGAAAGTGTACACAATATTTACATATAGTCTTTTGTATATTCCTGGGAAGACCGTTCCTGGAGAATGTGTTGACTTAGTCTCAGTCGGGCAGAGTCTCTGGTTGAATCTCTTGATTCCCCCTCTCTTCCCGGTACCAACCATATTTATATGGTCGGTACTCCACTATGCAAATTAGGTGGATCCTACCACAACATGGCAGTTAACTATCATATGCATGTTACTATGGCACAACGCCACAATATGGGGCGTCTAGTGGAAATGCAACCTGTTTCTCTGACAAATTAATAGGATCGACATGCACCCCAGCCACCACGTTTCAGTAGGCACGTTGTCGTTAATTACGAACGTAATTATCTCAAACTAAGGAATTCGAAAGTCAGTGTGCTCGTGAATTAATTGACAAGATGAGAGCGTTAACCTAAAGCGAGCGCCGTATTTGTGCTTCTTTGTGTAAATAAGAGCAGATACGAAGCTTTTAGCTTAATTATGCATTAAGTGAAGCGCAAGAGAGGAAGAAGATGCAGCGCCAATATTCTATGATCGGAAACTATATCTTTTGTCTGGGCTTAAACAATATAGACGAGGGTTACAAAAATGTAACAAATTTACCTATCAAGCAGCACACACACACACTAATATATATATATATATATATTATAATTTTATCATATAGACAAAACCATTTTTCTCACTACAAAGGTGCAACTTGGTTTCAGTGCATTTCAACTGCACTTCGACGGGTGAGAATCGAAAATGGTTATGAAAAATCCTGCTTGTAGACGAGCCGTATGTGAAACGTTCACATCCTTTTTCCATTTGTTTGAAAGAAAAAATATACATAAAACAAAATAGGTGACGGAGTGAAACTATAGTGCTTGTTGATAGCAGTTTGGTGTAGTATGGGTGGGGTGTTGAATGTTGACTGGTTCAATAACACCCCCACCCATACATTTCTAATACCCTTACTTTTTTTGGTGTATATGTGTGTGTGTGTGTATGTATGTGTGTGTGTATGCGTGTGTGCTTGTGTCTCTGTGTGTGTATATATATATGTGTGTGTATGTGTGTATATATATGTGCATATATATATATATATATATATATATATACACACACACACACACATATATATATATATATATATATATATATATGCTCGTCTACTAGGAAAGCTATAACTACTGCGGACGTCTGCATATTTATTTTTATCCAACATCCATGGAGTCAATCAGTGTTTTATATTCCATCTATGCTTAGTGGACATTATATATATATATATATATATATATATATATATATATATATATATATATATAAAAGGTGAAACGCTAATATTCCAATTTATTATATTGGAATCGTAATCCCGATCAAATTCATCAGACCTACAAATTCAAAAAGAAACGCTATTTTCATATTTTTTAAATGAAAAATAACGTCAGAGATTGTCACGTGTGGAGAATATTGTCATTATATCTGTGTTGATGTATTCAACCATTTTCTTTCGATTTTATGAATCTGTTGTGCACATTTGTTTGTAAGAGCATTAATTTTGTTAAGAAAGGTGAAATAGGGAAAAAGCCTGGGCGTAAATTAATAT